AATTAGTAGCGAGTTTCTATGTCATTACATTATCCATTCATAAGCTATTTAAATAACAATGAACATTAAATTATAAAATGTAATTCTTTAATTATTTAGTAAAATTATGAAGTAACGATAAATTTGTGATAAATAAAATATTTAAAAAGGTACAGAAGTTAGTATTTTTAGATGTTGTAAATTAGACTAGGAAATCATAAAAAACTGTTTTACTTTATATTACTAAATATCTGCTTTATAATAAATAGGTTTGATACTCATGCCTGCACATTTTAAATAAATAAGTTTTGTTGGAATATTTATTAAATTTTATTAATATAGATTTTTTTCCTTTTTTTACAAAAACTATTTGTGTATACAGTATTCATATACAAAACATTTTTTGAAGGCTCATTTGAACACCCGTTCCAAAAAGATAAAAATAATTTATTATTAATTAATAATTTATTAATTACACATAATTTTACTGTCATTTAGTAATATTAAAACATCCAATTGTAAATTGTTTTTGAAACTGAATATTTCATACTAAGCGTACGTATTTAACTAAAAAGCTAATAATCTAAGATATATCAGAAAACAAAGTTAAGATCAATAATGAAATTTCATAGCGTGAATATTTAGAATAAATGTATTAAAATAAAAATAATATTTTTGAATATCAAATTTACTTTATAATAAAACTCCAACATTAGATGTTTAAATAAAAAAGAAAATTATATTTTAAATATTTTATAAAAAAGTCTAAAAACTATAAATTTAAAAAATAATAATCGTATAAAAAATACAGTTTAAGATGGTCAAATCATTTGATTGACTAAAAATTATTACTTATTTAATTGGTAAAATAGTCAAAATGATTGATAATATTTAAATATATTTATTAATTACTTGCTGCAAGTTTCTTTTATGCGAATAAATTTCCAGAATGCACATGTGTAAATTACTGTCCATTATGCATTTGTTATATTAATACAATGAATAAAATACTTTTTAAGTGTTGGGAGACAATAGCTTGTAATATATTCCTAACATAATATATTGTTTGTACGATGACTTGCACGTTTTTTTCAACCTCAGCATAATTGTAGACGTTCTATGCAAGGCGCCTGTGTATGTGTAAATATTAGTGAACCACATTTAATATAAATCGCGATTAAATGTAAGTTGGCCTTAATCAGTTTTAGTGAAATTTGTCTACATTAGTTACTTTCATCTATTGTTAACATTCATATAATTTTATTCTGTTTAAAAATTTATATTTATGTCAAGTTCAATGATTTTTATGTTTTGGATGACTAATTTACTGTTTTAAAAATTACAAAAATTACTAGGGACATTTCAAAATGTCAGTTGGGTACTTGTCATCTTAAAGTTTCAAAGACAGAATATCTTTTGAATTCTGTTTGTTAAGCGTTTATAATTTTGACGTTAAATTAATAAGCGATTTCATATTTGCAAATAGATAATAATGCCCAGTAAAGACTATACAATGGAGATTTCTTTTGATATTTATTTGATTTTGATGAACATGTAGACAAATTCGTGTCAGTTAGTGACCGTGGCTGGAGAACATCGTAAGGGCAGCATTCCTTCAGATGTTTGAGGCGTTTCTCCAATAACGACGTTGACCTTTGAGTTCCAACAGGTTATATGGATGCTACTTCTTCGATGAAAGTGTTCGACTTTCACTGACTTCCAATTTTGTTCTCTTTCACATTTGCATTTTTCCCTCAATGCAATCAGTTTTAATAATCTATAAAAACCAATGATAATTTCTTAAATTGGCGGATTCTTCAACAAAGAAATAATTAAATAGTAAAATAATTATTAATATAATATTTGTTGAACAATTTAACTATTTCCTCTTAATAATCAGTATTACTTTTTACCAGCTATCTTTTAATAAATGTGCAAAGCCTTAATTCAAGTTCCAGTTAAAACTGGAATGAATGTAAAAACATTCATTCATAAAACCACTTTCATCATTCACCGGAAGAATGGTGAGATTAGAGTGACCGCTGTATTTAGAATGTCGTATATAGGATTACGGAGGTCAAGCTAATATACAAACCGACCGGATTGTTAGTAATACACAAAAATGATCCTTTTTTAGCATACTGCGATTCTATTATTCTTTTACTTTTTTATTTTTTGGAAAAATCACTTTTTAAAAAATTAGGTAGTCAAAACATTTTTTTTTACATAAAAAATGTAATTACTCATTTTTTGAATTAACTATTTTGATTTGAATATTCTTAATACTATAGATTTGAGTGAACATTTTTGTCGATATTTTCCATGAGCTAATATGTCAATTTTAGTAATTTTTAAGAGAGAAGAAATAATTAATTTTGTTTTACGAAAACATTTTTTAAATACAAAAGAATACTTATTCGATATACCCATTTTTACACATATAATCAATAATCCCAATATTGTATATTTGTGACATATCAGTTTATAATATAACTTTTAAGTAGTTAAGATATTTTCCTATTGTGTTTATTGTAATAAATTAAGTTTGTTTTAAAAAAAACTTTAATTTCTTTAAATTCTGTTAAGGCTAAGGAATTAAAAGTAAACGTAAAGTTATGAATTATGTTAAATTTGTTTTTAATATTTCAGTATTTAAGTATACAAAAAAGAAATAAAAATTATAATAAAAAAATTTTTAAGGTAAAATAGATTTTATTGTTTTCAACAAATTTAATTTTAATGACTGCATTATTGATACTAAATAAGAATAAATATTTGTTTTAGCACCATAGAAAAATTAAAATTCTGACTACTATCGTTTAAGTCATAATATTTTAAGATCCTTTTTGAAGACAAGAAAACCGAATAGGCTAAATATTTATAAATAATGAAGCGTCTATTTAGAAACTACAGCATGATAACTAAATAAAAAGTATAAATTTAAATATAATTCTAATGGTAAATTAAATGTTATGTATTTTATGCAAAATCTAAAATCTTATTATTATGATTATTAACCAACCTATAATATATATACCAACCTACATTTAACAATGCTGATCGCCAATAAAAACAAAATCCGTATTATGCAAAGTATAAATTAATAATACTTTAATTAAATTTAAAATATACTCTTAATTTTATCGGAGAAATAAGAAATGTCTAAATATACATAGGTAATTAACTAGCATTAATAAGTTTATTTACATGTTATTCGGAATTAAAATTGAGTATAAACACGCACAGGTGTTTTAAAGATAGTCATTATTTTTTTGTTTATATTATGGCTTCACTTTTTAATTCTTTTCAATAATAACTAAATAATATAAAGTGAGTTATTTTAAATAACTTTGCGAAATGAAATAATTATAAAATGATATCTTGATGTTTTATTTAGAATTTTTTTTATGAAATAGTCAAACGTAAATTTATTTATTCATTAAATTGATACTAAAAAAATTTTCACTTTTTAAATATCCAGAAGTATTTCCTACTATATATGATTATTTATATTCAGTTTATTACTATTCATAAAAATTTACTAAAGAATATTTTTATAGGCATATAAGTGAAATCATAATAATATTACCTAGAGAGCATAAATATACATATTAAGCAGATAATTTTTCTGAATTGGTTTACTGACGCTATGTATATGAAAATTCTATTGGAAATTAGTTTTTCTTATAACATTGCCAGAATAACAGAAAATACAATACTCGCACCATACAAAGTCGTTGTCATATAAAAAGAAAGTAATGACAAATAATTATTTCGAGGGTTTGTTATTTAAATAAAAATATCAAATATTAAATAATAAATATTATAAATTATAATATTTTATTATTTATAATATATGATTATAATTTATGAAGTTAGGTAAAATAGAAAATTATTATAATACTATTTATGTTATTAATTTATAATTGTATTCGTAATTTAAGAGTTAATATAAAATTGAATTTAGCTTAAACTAAATTACTCTAGAATAAAATAATAAAGCTTATAATTATAAATAACGTTGTAAAACTTTTTCTCGGTATAAAGTAGTCGAAAATTTGTAAAATTTATAATTGCTCACGTTTTTGAAATTTACATAAACATACGTAGTAAAAGTATGCTTTTTATTTACAGAATTACAATGTTTAAAAATAAGAACATTGTCAAATAATTTTTTCAAAATGGTTCATCAGATATAATTTTATATGCTCATGATTTATATTATTTTACTGGTTTTTATTTGAGTCATAATCTGAGTTGCAGTAAATTGATACACTCTTAAAAAATGTTTGAATTTTGACATACAAGTATCGGAAGTTTTTAACGCATACAATATGACGGAACATTTGGATAAAAAGTGATAAAATTACTTTATTTGTATATAAAATTAAATTATTAATTAAAAATTAATTTTAAATATTAAAAATTTCATAATAAGATATGGAAAGTTTAACATAATTTCTTATAGTATAATTTAGTATTTTACTTTTTATATGGTTTAAAAGTGTAAGCTATAGAAAAATTAAGTGACAACTTAAAAATTTGACTAACTTTGAAACAGTTTTCGAAGTTTTATTTGGTGGTTTCAAAAAAACAAATGCAGTTATTTATAAAATGATAGTACGTATATTTGGAAGGTAACTGAAAAACAATTAAAAGTAAATAAATTTTAATGATACAAGTTTACAAAATTCACTTAAAAGTTTTTTGAATATTTTTGATAAGCATGAGTCTACTTATATAATGATAATATAATGTAAATGGAAGGTTAAAATCATTATACATTTTTAATATTAAAGTATTTAAAAATATCATGAATTCGTAAAATCTGCAGATTATAGGGTCAATTGTAAATATAAAAAAAATGTGCCGGCGTTGCAGTGCGAAAGAAGAAGGAGGCAGCAACCGGTAGATAGAGAAAGTCCACCGTCTTCCGGGGGTCCAGATCGAAGACTCCAAAAAGTGACCGGGGTACTAGTTGCGTAAAGTGGGGGCCGGGTATAAAACGTTTGACATCTGTCTGAGTCTATCATACAGTTTTTTGGTTTCGGGGCGCCGCATCGTGTACAACTTAGAGGTCCCGCAAAAAATCATCAACAACACCCACCTCAACAATGAATCCACTTAGGATATGTTTATGTTTATTTTTAACCATCGGATGGGCCATGAGTTTGCCCTCCGGAATGGACACTCAATCAGTGGGTCACAATTCCGTTCAAGCCAAAGAAGATCTTTTAGATGATATTTACTCCGACTGTGTTAACAAGGGGTCCGTCTCATGCATTAAATACAAATTGTTCTCTTATGTTGACAAAGCATTGAGCAAAGATGAAATCAACTTAACCGAAGGAATTACCGTTGTAAGGACAGCTGGTGCACCTGGCGAAGGCGCCCCAAGATCTTTGGACAACGAAGAAAAACCAAAGGACATCGAAACTCAAGTACTCAACCGTGTCCAACGTTTCTTGAACACACATACATTGAAAGTTGACTTGAAGGGATCTGATGTCGTCAATTCCGTCGCCAAAACCGGCAGAGCTATCTCTGATGCTGTCAGCACTTTCGTCGCCGAAGATGATGTCACCACCGAAGAAGGCCGTGGCAAGAAGAGTAAGTTAAAAGTTTAAAAATATTTAACTGATTTAAAATAGATGCCTTTAATCTAATAATAAACTAACAAAATAAGTAGTTCCCTAAATTTATAAACAACACATCTTTTGTTAAGTACTTTTTTCAAGCAATACTTTTATGAGATTTAGTTGAATTAAAAATTTAGCATAGTTTTTACAGATTTATTTCGTTTTATTATACATATTGGAAAAATTAAGCAAAAATTGATAATTCTGTGTGAATATCCATGGTGCTGAGTTTAGGTTTACAAAAAATGAATAACAATCATATTTACACATATTATAATCAACTAAGTTTGATTACAGTATTATAATGCATGTGATAACTGACATATATTACATTTTAATTGAATTAATTACATTGGGGTCCATTTAAAATAACTCGTAAAACTAAAACATAATAAATAAAAATCATTATATCAATTTTAATTTTACATTAGATATAATGGCAAAAAATAACATTTTTTTCTTTTTTTTAAATTGTTATTATATTGTTTTTTTTTTGGTTTTAATTAAACGTATTTACTTCAGGATTTTTATGTTTTAAACGTGTTTAAAACACCAAAAATTTCATCGTTTACATTGGTCTTATTGGACGTATTAAATTGTTTATTTGTGTTTTAAACAGATTTTTTTTAAGAACCTGTTTTTTAACAACCCTGATTAATTTGTATAAAAACTAAATTAATTTTATAAATAAATTCAATTTTTATAAAAGTAAATACGTTATAATAATATAAGTGATATCTTTTAAGATATCACTTATATTAAAGAAAATAAATCATTTTTACATTTTTAATGGTAGCCTATTGTCAATTTTTAAGATCTATCGGAAAAACAATAAGATCTGTATTCTAGATGTGGATATATGATTATTAATCGTTCGTTATACATATTATATTCTTTATCGTACAAGCTCACTTATCATTCAATTTTTCAGTATACATAAATAATTCGTGTTAAACATGAGTCGTTTTTTGCTATAGTAGGGTAGCATTTTGAATTTCTCAACGTGTACTACATGTGTTATATTAAAAAGAATTAATGGTTTGAAGTATAAACTGTTTGTTAAACGGGTTGTCCGTGAACGACAATAATTGACGTCGTTAAGCATTATATCAACAACAAAGAATTGCGGTCGTTTTCAAACACGCAAAAATAACAACTGGCTATTTTGTCTTTGGAAACCATTACCCGTTACTATTCTTACAATTTGACTTAACAATTAAACCACAGGGAGCTAAACGACGATGCTGCATTTAATATCTAGTGTGAATAAATGATTGAGCCTCAGGCGTGAATGTAAAAAATCTAAAACGGCCACGGCAGCCAGGAAATAATATAATGCTTAACTAGTTGTCGGTTACCTGCGGCCAGTGATGATTCGTATGTGTTTAAGAACTATTCCGAATCTACAGGTTGCTAATGAAATCCCAGGGGGCATAGATGGCAGGCACACTGGCGATCGTCTCTCGATACTACTAACCCAGTTCCCAAGGGCCAACCCACATACCTATCCGTATAAAGTACTCATACGCACTTTATACAGCACACAGATTTACATACCGTTGCCCCATTAAGGTATCAATCAACACGACTATCAATATAATTTAAGTGTATTTTATATGAACGTATACTTTCTACAGCGCGTCAATCATGCGCTGGCTTGCGCCGGAATCTCGTTTTCAGTAATGCCCTCCGTCTACTCGCCGGTACATAGGAAAAGCGCACATCAGTAAAAATAATATCCACACCCTAGCACGAGAGAGAAAGAAAGCTTAGCAGGAAAAAGATGTTTGAAAATCGTGCGGCACGAAAAACCAGTTTTAGAAAGTGCTCCTGAGTGTCCGTTTTATACTCTAAGAGCAATGCGATAACGCTGTGTACAAATATAATATTATTGTATATATAAACGACCGCACATAAATCGTGTTCAGCGGTCATCAGGCCGTGAACTTGTGGGTAATACGATATTGATGTCGGACGTGCACTCGATTTGAAATCTGTCTCCTCTTTTACTTTTCTCACGCTTATACAAAGTACACCGGTACATTAGTGTAGGTCACTTCGGTTTATTGCGGAATGGATAGCTAAATCATTTGACATAACATGTAATGCAACTGTTTGGTTATTATTTGAACGCGTTAAAATTTTACTATTTTCTTTTTTTTTACAGAGAAGAAGGACAAGATGTTGATGCATTTATTCATGATGTTGAAATTCAAATTGATGGCTCTCTTACCTTTCATCCTCGGTAAAATCGCTTTGATCGCCGGAAAAGCCTTGTTGTTCGGAAAGATCGCTCTAGTCTTGTCCCTTATTGTTCTTCTACAAAAGTTGCTGAATTCACAACACCACAAGACCGTTACCTACGAAGTAGTTCCACACGCTCACCATGAATCACATGGACACGACTCATACTCCAGCGGTGGCGGTGCTGACCTCTCATCCGGTGGATACGGCGGTAGCTCATCCGGAAGTGGTTGGGGACGTAGCATGGACTCTCAAAAAATGGCCTACAGCGCACAAGTACCTCAGTAAAAACGTACAAATGTAAGTGTCTAGTTAAGACTTCATAACTTGGTCAAGGTCGAACTTGTTCGATAATGGTTTATGTTTTTGTTTACAGTTGTAGACCACAATTTAAAAAATCACTCGCATCGGTGCTCACCAATAACGTCACAAAAATCAAAGTTCAAACGAGCCATCGACGACGAGTTTATTGCAGACGCTCAGTTTAATTTTATTTGTACATTACTTATTTATTTATATTTATATAATATTTATATTTTCAAAATTTTTTGAAAAATTCTTAAACATGTTTATGTTATAAAAAAAATCACGTGTTTTTTTATTTCAATTAACATTCCGATGATTTGATATTTCATTTTAAGTGACTAAGTATAGTTGTATGATGATGGACATAAGTCGCCGTAATAACTTTATGAAAAACAACTCATTACGCTATGCTTTTAACCATATATTTATATTTATCTGTGAGTTAAGGATTGTTTTAAAAAAAATATGGAATATTACTTGTACTTGTTGAGTGTATATTGTGTTTTGTAAAGATCAGTTTTTTGTTTTTTTTTTTTTACAGTTCGTTTTCATGCTCAGAATAGAGGATTACATAATTTAATTATAAATAAAATACATAAAAAGTAAGGTGCTCATCGAATGCAAGTATAAAAGTAATACATAGTTAATAACTATTAATTAAATAGTAATTAATTAACATAATAGTTTGATAGTAAATTTATTACTTTTAATGATGGAATTGTATAAATTATGACAATTAACTAAACAAAATAATAACACACTTCTACAAAATAATATATCATCCAGTAGATAGAACAAAATCAAGATAAAAAGTATATATTAATTTAAAGAATATTGTATTATTATTATTTTTTTTTTTTCATCAACTTATAAATTAACTCAACTTAAACATATTGACTGATATTTAAATATTCATATTAAAAAAAAAAAAATTAATTAGATTCATTAAAAAAATTAGCCATTAAAATAATATACTTACAAAATTGATATCACTTTTACTTATTTTTAAATAATTAATGATTAAATCAAATTAACTCTGACAGCAAATTAATTTGTTGTAATTAAATTTTCAACAAGTCTTTATTGATAAATACTGTTTTTTTAAATCATATAATTCATATAAAAGACTATGTAGATAATATTTTTTATAACTATAGTATAATTTAAGCCTAACTAATTGTAATAAATACGATAACTTAAAAATATGAAAGTGGTGAAAAATACTTTCACCACTCTTTAATTGGCAATTTTAATAGTCTTTGTTAAATAGATAAGTTATATTAATAACGTCATATTTTATTAATTTTATGCCTTTTAAGTCTTGTTTAATTTGACGAGTAAGTCGACGGTTTAAATACTATTTGTTATAAAACAATGTAGGCTATATAAAATACAAGATACATAAATTTACCACGACTGATTGATGTACAAACTATTTTGTATCACTGCATCGATAATTATCGATTAGACTGGGTTGAATCTAAATCTAATAAGAATAATTATAATTGAACTTATTCAATAATAAATTTAATTATTATATTAAATCACATGAAATGTGTTTTTTTAATACCCAGATACATAATTTAATAGTATATTACGTAGTAAAATAATATTATACATAAACTAACGATATACAATAATTAATTAAAAAACAGTGAAATAAATAATTTCTGAAATTTGGTAAAACTTACATATAAGCTTTCGGAAACTAGCCATAGAAGTAATTTTATTAATATGAATTTTCTTATACATGAATGTCATTAACGTATTAATTTGTGTTTGCTTGTTATTTATTTTTTCATAATAGCTAAGAAAAAATTTAATTTATGTAGAATTTAGTTGACGAATACATAACTTACGAGGGTCAAATTAGCTGGAGAACGATTTTTTCTTTTTTTATTTCTACGATTTCTAGAAGTAATACATTAAAGGAATATAATGTAATTAATGCTATTTTATTATTTTAATACCTCAAAATTTTCGGGAACCTTTTCAATTTTAAGTTAATTTTTTCAATTTATGAACATTACATATTGTTTATTATAAATTAAATTAAAGTTAAATATTAATAAGAGTACTATGATTCAATTTTAAAAATCAAAGTTAACTTTTAATGTTCAATAACATTCCAAATAGTTCAAATAAAAATATTCTTTTATTTTATGTTTGTAATCTAAGGCTAAACATTTAGACAATATAAATTCATTTATGTGTATTTTTTAAAATATGTTTTATTTAAGGAAAAAATCTAATATAATAAAAATTGATCACTTGCGGCTAATATTATTTAAAATTAAATTGTATATAAAAATATTATTAATTTAAAACTAAAAATATTTAACTTTTTCCCTAAAATATGAATAATGTATTTTTTTTATAATTTTTTGTGGCAGAATTGGGATACTATAAATTCCACTAAGTTTCCCTAATATACATTTATGTAATTAATTTTTCAATATATAAGTGGTTAATCTATGCAAATAAATTCATAAAGATAACGATTTGTTGTTTAATAATCGTCAAATAGTCAAATTTGAGGCGGCGATTAAATATTTTCAAGATTTCATCAGTTAATTTTTAAGACCAAATATTTTATGTTTCTTAGCATTGTACTTAACACAATACTTATAAATATTTTATTAGAGCTGCAGACTGATATGCCTAAAATAATATACATTTAAATTCCCAACCGCCATAATTTTTCTTTTTTAATGAAATTTTAACAAGTAAGAAACATGTATTTCATGATACGTATTTTTTAAATGAAGAAATACTAGATTTTAACATTGAACCGAAGATATGTAAAAAAAATGAATGATTAAAAATTTACGATTGCCAATAAAAGTTATGCATCATAATTTCACTTCAAAATATTCTATACATTTATGTATGTTTTGAAGTGTTGATGTTTTTTCTAAGGGATAAACTTAGTGTTTATTTATAATTAAATATATATTTCTAATAAAATTACTTGAATTTTTAAATTTTAAATCATATTTACTATTTTAAAAACTAAATGCAATTTAAGAAGTGTTAATAGATACATATTTGAAGTAATTCACATTTGTATATCTAGAAGGAGGAGTGTGTCAAGAAAGCACTCACGCCTCACATCCAGTTATTACTTTATATTATTATTAACTTTAAAACTACTTATCCAAAAGTTGCTAATGTCCAATTATTTCATTAACTAGATAATTATTTAATGAATAAGCGAGTTCATTATATATGTAACTATTTGAATAAATAAAATTGACGCTCTTATAAGTTAGAAGTATAAAAAAAAAACTTTATGATTTATAAATTGTTAAAAATATGTAACTAAAAGAAAAATATGAATAATATTTTTGATTAAACAAGTAGTTCATGATAAAAGAATCACTCAGTATAAATAGTTATAAAATTTCGCATAAAACGTTGTGATAATGAGCTTACAAAATATATTGTTTGGAAAACTTATTAAATATCGATAATTAATTTTTAAATTTTTACTTAGTTATTTTTAACGATAACCGTTTTCATTTGTGGTAATTCTTGTGTAATAAATGATTTAGTCGCTTAAAAATATATTTTACAATGTATAATTATATAAAATTCATCTAAATATTTAGTCTTTCTCATGCTTTCTCCTTAGCAAATTATTAAAAAGTTATTAATTCGACTAGACTGTCAAAAAATACAAAATATCATAATCAATAATTAATTTCTATGATTCAGAAATATAAAACATAATGTTTTCTTGAAACTAACATAATAATTAGAGAAATTGTATGTATGTATAAATATTATTAAGTCTTTCTATATACATTAGTGGTCAAAATTATAAGACACCCCCAATTTTATGTTTCATGCGTTTAGATTTTAAACTTGTACGCAATCGTAAACGTTTAAATTTGAAGTAAATGCATGAAACATTTTCTTTTATAATGTGTTTATAAAATTCAAAGAAAACCGCTTATTTTGGATTGGTTCCATTTGTAAGTTAATGTTTACGATTATTTTCGATAAAAATGTTATTTTTGCAAATACAGTAAATTTTAGTCAATAAATCGTTATACAGGCTTTCTAAAAATTTTACTAACACCCAACTATATAATTTTTTTTTTTTACATGTTATTCGGATAATTAAGTTTGATGACAAAATATCAAGTCGATCTAGTTAAAAATATTTAAACCACAGGCAAATAATGAAAATTTTTAGAAATATAAAACTAGCTATTTTTGATAATTAACTGTCAAATAATTTCAATTTCTCACTATAAATTATTAATTTTTTTTAAACCTTTGTAATAAGTTGTAATGAGATTTATGTGTGGAAAGTCTTATGGGGGCTTATTCTCCCCTTAAAAATGTAAAATGTTTTTAGTTTCAACTAGTGTACCTGAGAACAAAATTATCCGGAAACGTTATTAAAAAAGTTCCCAAGAACGTTTGTAAAATCCGGAAAACACTGGGAAATTTATAATTTTGAGATTTTTCGACCTAGTTAAGGTAAATTATTTAATTTGTAAGGATAGCAGATAGTTTTTTTCATTTCATTAACAGTTACCTCGATATTACTAGTAATGTACTTGAGTATTGATTAAGTGTCTCTTTGTCAACAACAATACACAAAATGTATATTTCAAATAAATATATTCTTTTAAAGATAAGTTTTAATATTTATAATTTAAAAATTGTAGAAATAAAATAAACAATGTCTTTTTAGTCTATAAGTTTCTAAATATCATAATTAATAACAGAACACATAAATATGAAAATATAAATTTAAAAAATGTAAACAACGGTAGGCTTAGATTTGTATATTAGATTTTAAATGTATACCAATTAGTAACATGGTAATCGACTGTCACTAAGATTAAAATAAATAATATAAACATAAATAAATCTAGTTGTTTGTAATAGTACCAGTTGCAAGCAATATGTGATGACAATCAACAAAAAATTCAATTTGACAAAAAAATAATGATAATTAATTAAAGACATTTCTTTATTAAAAAAATGCACAATGATTCAATGGAAATCGAAAAACAGTTGCAAATATAATAACAGATTATTGGTTAAAAATACACAAGGCTTGGTTAGTTACAAAAACCAAAAAAAAATACCATAGAAAAAAAAATAAAATGGTAAAAATAATTTTTAGATAATTAAATATTGCTGGTACAGAAAAGGAAA